CCCCTACCCACATAGTGACCGTGGTTTAGGCAGCGTTCAGACTTGTAGCGCTACAGCTGTAGCGCGATGTAGCGCTACAGCTGTACCACGCTATCAGCGCTATTACATTCACACACTATTTTCAAACGGGTATACCTTCTTTCAGAATCCATCTCTCGCAGAGTGGTAAGGAGGCTTCGCTCGTATGGTCAGGCTCTATACGGAAAACACGACAGATTTCATCGAGCCCACATGGGCTTCTGGCCAAAAAAAATAACGCGGCAATTTAAATGAAATATCTTCGTTCCGACATAACATAGTACGGGGATACACGGAAATAAAGGCCCTGATCGCAGCGAAATCGTCGCTGCGATCCAATTTGAAAGTCGAGCATCACTCATCCTGTTACGCGTCTGTTGTCTTTAGTTCTGAACTCGGCAAATACGCCCCTCGCCCTCTCGAGGAAGGCCAAATACGACCCCCCCCCCACGTCGCGGATTCCACGACGTACGCTTGACCATGGAGGAGACTCCGGGATGGATTAGATGGGCGCTCAGAGAAAACAGAAGGTCGCCCGACTGAAGTAACTGAGTTCAAGTTCCCCATATATTAGTAGCAGGCAACGCTCCTCACCATGCCCGGAAATCGAATCAGGATCATCTAGCTCCTGCCCAACCCGTTGAGCTTTTCGTCCTTTCTGGGCTGGTGAGTCGGTACCATGCTCGCCGGAGAGGATATTTTGGGTAAACATCGCTTGTGCCAGCAGTTCATTTGAGGCTTACTGCATTTAACTTCTCACCACCATTCCTAACATACGTAAGGTGCACGGCAAATCCTCAAAGGCCTACAAGCAAACGGTATCTGTAGGAAATACGTCTGAGCTTTCGTAGTCGGGGGGGGGGCGGAATCACTAGCCAGCGCCTGTGTGTCACTTCTTCTACTCAAGGCTTAGGGTTACCTTAATGAAGACAAGGTAGGTATTCTCTGGGGGCGGGACTATCTCTCGACAACTCTTGCCGTCTACGCTCTGTGTCTGAACCTTTCGGGAGGGGATATAGAAGCGGTGCCTTCTAACTAGCGCGCTAGTGTCACTGTATCATGGCAGTGAACGTATGGAAGGAGACGGTTAGATGCAATCACTCTGACGATTCTAGTCATTAGTGGAAGGCGTGGCGTACTCAAAGCAGTGAACGAATGCTGAAAGGTTGGACTTCTATCTTTTTACTTTGGCCTGATGAGCTTTTAGAGCAGTAAGGGGAACATCTTGATGTTTCCCAGTTTGCCGTAGAGTCATTTGGTAAGAACTCAAAGGAAATCCTTTCACAGCTTCTAATTGACCCCTGGGCCTGGAAAAGACCCCGTGGGAATGACGAAAGAAGAGATTTTCAATGAAAAGTAAAACCCATGACATTAACAACTAGAGAATGGTTAAAATGACAAAGGAGAAAATACAAAACACACCACTGCTTACGGAAGCAACTTTTATTCAGTACTGTCCCATTCTGGACTATCACCAAACTCCAAACGACGAGGCGTCAAAAGTGGAGTTTTCGCCGTCGGGCTAATCACTGATTCTGTCGTTTCAACCTCGGTACACACCTGAATCTCTTTTGTAAAGAAAACAAAACAAAACTAAAAGAAACCTGGAAAACAACAACAAACAAGATGTAAAGTTATGATCCCTGAAGTGGCTTAGCGACGTGTCAGTGACACGTGGGGTCTTAGCACGGCGCCGGCCTGTCTTCCTCCGATCGTTGCGTCTTTGGGTGTTCAATGAGTGGTGGAAGTAAGGCTGGCGCCAGGCTTCAAAACGCTGCTGACACGCCCGACTAAATTTAGTGATAAAAACATAAATCTAGCAGGAAGACATTAGCGGAAAGATCATTTTCACAACTCGTAGCGAGGAGCGGAAGTGCTGTAAGGCAAGGAGCACTACTCACGCGCGGATCGTGTGCTAAGACCTCAGGTTTAGCATTCAGAAAGGAGTATGCTGTTTGGAATAAAAACGCTCTCTCGCTTCTCAACATTTCAATTCGATCTATCTTGTTACCTCCTTCTCGCTCTATCGAAGGCGACCAAAATAAAAAAAAATGCATTAAGAGCTATCAAAAGGAATGTGCGCCAACTTTTACAGGTTACCGCACGAGGTTCGGAATGAAGTCACTAACGCAAGGATCAAGCGGAGAAGGAAAAGCCATGCAGAAGAAAATTATAATAACAAATGTGAAGCCGAGGCGCCTAGTATTGGATAAACAAATAGTGTTCGCGCATAAAAGCAAATGGAGGCACATAATGGGCCATACGTCACAACGCCACTCCAGTATCCTTAGCAGGAACGTGGGAGTGACACAAGTAAACGCAAATAGGAAAATGGGAAACACGCTCGGAGAATTAGCCTGACATTTCAATAACTGATCCAACAGGGTGTTTCAGAGATGGGTTTTGTCGCGGTATCAGCTCGTTTCAAGCAGTCGTTTGATGAGGAGAGTAAGGACTGATGGGAAAGGAGCTCGCGCCGCTTCACATCCATGCCACTCTGACACTTCCCGTGGATTCAGCTGCTCTGAGACTATGACCTTCCCGTACATGGACAAAAGTCTCAGGTGAATGTTTGGGAGACAGTATGAAATTCCTAATGCATATTTCAAAAAACTCAGAAGACACCAGAAGTCTCGAAGATTTTCCAAACTAATTATCTTGCAATACTCCTTAAGACACATTTGCGTGTGTGTCCGATCATAACTTCACATGAAGCTTAAACAGCCCTTTTTTACAAAAATGTCTCTCTACTCAGTTATGAAACCTTACCTGCATGAGCGAGCGATGTCGGTACAGCGATACCTTTCGAAGTGGCTGTCGTACAATAAGTTGGCTTGTTGACTTTGACTTGTGCCACTTATATTTGATTAAAGAAGACACATGTGCCGAGTCTGTCATGGGGACATATCCACATGGAACGCATTCAGACTAAAACGAATTATTAATTGCAGACTACATATTTACAAGAGCAACGAAATGCGAAAAAAGGTGCAAAGCAAACTGGAGAAAAAGGCAAAGATGGGGGTGGAACTTGCACGGAAGGGAGCGGAGAGTCATTCCTGAAGGAGTGGCTACCGATACTGGGAGCTTGGAGAGACACGACCCTCTAGCAGCTCCTGATACCTCGCAGGTCCATGGACGACGTCCAATAGAACAACAGTATCGCAGAAATATTCAGCAAACTCATCCACCCTTAGAGGGATGGTGTGAGAAACATGAAATGTTTCTTAAGCGACGAGACCGCAGAAACTGCAAAGAACCGGCAATAGTGGTGACATTTCCTCGCCCGAAATGTTCATCAGCACGGGAGGAGCGAAGTATAAGCAAATCGTTCACCCTTTGCTGCCTCATAGCTCGAAAAAAAGGCCAGATTCAGATCAAATTTTCTCGAGATTGGTAAGTAAAGTCTGAAGTCTTTATAGTAAGTCCTGAACACTCTTAAGATGCAAACGTCATATTCCATTGCCGCGCAATGCCCGGCGCTTGAGCCACAGCATGCAAAGCCACAGAGAGTATGAAGCAACATACCAGGTGTCTCGAGCGAGGGTAATCTTCATGTTCTGGGTATCAACCACCCTCTAAAGCTTCATATTGTCCCTTGCATTAACGCTGTCAACAACCCAGAAAGCTTCCAACAACAGCAAACCTTGGTGAGTTACTAATTGGCTCGAACTTAAAAAAAGTCCAGAAGGTTCGAGGTCCGTGAAGTCACCAGGAATGATGTGGAGTCCGTAAAGGAAACCGCCGGGGAAGGTATGAACTCCAACTCGACTTTTTTCTACTCAAACAGTATTCTTTAGCTACTGTACATGGTGGCCCAAGGGATTTAAGGTTGTTGATATAGAGTGAAAGGTTCCCCGTTCACATTCCACTTTTGGAGAGGACGTCCCACTCAGGCTCAAAAACATTCTCACCGCAAAGGAAAAAAGGTTTTTTTTATTCATATTAGCTCTTTTGATAATCCTTGATTTCCTCACAATAAGGAGAATCGCTCTAAAGCTTTTCACTTAACAAATCGCTTAGGATCATGACAGTTGATAAACATTAACCTTGTAACCATCATTCCAGAATTTTCGGTAACCATGGTCTAGAAGGTACATCTCAGCGTAGTCAACCTTTGGATAATTCAGTTCATTACGCATTCGATCAATACTTCGCAATGCAAGGGCCCTAAATGATCATATCAACTTGAAACTAGTTACATAATTTAATGTGATGATCTAAAACTAAAAAGCTTACATTCCGGGTCCGCGCTTCTGACTGAATTCGCAATAGAATATACGGAGATTCGTAGAGCGAACTGGTGGATGTTGGATGCTTCAGGAAAGACAAATCTCTAGCTCATATGGTCGTGAACATTGATCGCACACTAAGTTCAGAAATTACATTGAAACTATCAGGATCTTTTAGGAATGCTCCTTGACGAATTCCACCCTCATATTCATATGGATATCTGCAGTCAATGAGCAAATAGCGACGTTCAAACTCTTCTGGTCCAAGTCGCCGTATCTCTGAGGCTAACGTTTCAGCTGATATGCTTCGGAAAGCAAGTGATTCGCGCTGAGTATTCCGAGCAGTAACGAATACTCCTTGAAAAAGCGAACAGATCTGCGTTAGAATCAAGCCAATTAATGTCTTCAGCACTGTTGCCTTATAAGGCAGGTACTGTGCGTAGGGGGTTTGCCCACGTATCAATGACGTCATTCGACTAGAGCTGGAAGAACGACCAGTTAGGCTGCGTTTTTCGCGGATGCGGGGAATCTGCTATTTGGAGAAACAGCCGACAAAGGAAAGTATGCGTATCGACCCCGAGAATGGCGGGATTCGAAGGTCGGACAAAAAGAATACGAGGGTGCGACCGACTTCCGCCCAGTAGAGGATTATGGGATTTCAGATCCTCCTGGAAATGCTAGTATGCGGAATCAATCGATTCCCGTCCAATCTCAGACCAGCGAATAAAAGAAGCAGATTCTCCACACTCACGAGGTACGAATGCGGGCCTTGGTTTAGTTCGAAGAGGGGAGCAGCTCCATATTCAATTCGGCTTAGATTTTGATGGGGAACTGAGAAGATTCACTGACTTGGGAGATTTGGCGATTCGAGAGATTACGCGACGAGGAAAGTATGCTATCGATCTGGCGAGTGCGGAGATTGAGCGAGCTGGCGTTTTGGGAGATCGCCGAGTCTCTCAAATCGCCGGATCGCTCAATCTCCGCAATGGCCAGATTGATACCTATACCTCCATCGTCCCGCAACCTTCAAATCCGCTGAATATCTTGAGACGCAATGTATGAACTCAATCGCCTGTGCTCCGCACGTCATCGACACCACGTCGCGTACTCTTCCCTGCCCAGCTGAATGATGTCGTTTGAGTGCGCTCAGTTCTGGCTGCTTGCAGGTGTTTATGAAGGGTTATGACCGTCATTACATACAACCCTCCTTACTTTCAGCATTCCCCCCCCCACGCCAAGGCTGAGCCCGGTAGGAGTGATTGACTTCATTCCAGGCTAGATTTAGCAGAGCGCAGATGATCGCAGTGTTCTCCATTAGCGTCAGTGACAAGAATAAATGTCATTTGCTTAATCAGTATGTTAAATAACTCTTGTATACAAGTTTTAAGCGATCTGCATTTCATAAATGCAACAATGCAGCAACCAAAACTGAGCGCGTCCAAACGGCAATCAACGCCGAGGCTAAAAGGAACGCCTGAACGCGATTTAACGAAACGATCAACCTACACGGTCGGTCCGAACAACTTACGGCGATCCCGATTGTTGAGATTCCTCGCCATTTTCCAGTTGGCCCGTACTTTGCGTACGCGTGAAGCTTCGAGATAAAGACCGCGAAGATGACATGGAGCATTCGCTGGCATGTGATACGTTTGGAGAGAAGTCCATTCAAGCCTCGAACACATCAAGTCTTGTGGTAAATGTGGATCCTCTACTCTATTAATTCTAGCACAGCTCACTGGTTTAAGTAATTAAATTGTAACGAACTTGAAGAAGGTCGGTCCGAATGGCGCAGGATCTCTTTCGTTGGACACCACTGTCTGAGAGGGCACTGTCAGTGATTCGTTTCCTTATCTTTACCACTTTTGTCGTTCGTTCTTCACTTGCTGAACGCTGGCCAGGCAACCGAACCTTTGCCGGAGTCCAAACGATATCTGACTCGGCACACTGAAAATTTCTCAAAGAATTCTTGGAAGAGAAGGTTTCAGTATAAGAGCTCTTACGAAAATGATGATATTGACGCTGCCGAGGTGGTCTCTATGCTTGCGAAGACTGTTTCTTCAAAACTCGATACTGACAGTACGTTCTCATTGTCGCCGTCATCAGACGATATCATTGATGGTGTAAGCAAACGTGGTGGTCGACGACTCGATATGGGCGATTCCTCTATTGGTTGTTTCACGGTTTTACTGTGAAAGAAGGATTAGAGAAAAGAGTCAAGTGCAACAAGTAAAGGCAATGGGCACGAAGATTACATCGTTGGTGGAAGGGCGCGAGAGGGGGTTCGTCCAAATCCCCTTATACCAATGACGTTGGCGCCCGCCCCACAGAAATCGTGCCCACTTTCTTAGAATAATTCAGATTGTACGCTTCAAGGAATGAAGCCTCTACTAGGCACAGCTCAAGATGCTTTCAAGGAGAATATGAGAATCGGCGATCTGTAGGAGGCGCACAGGAGTGGAAGGGGTTCATCGCCTCCGGTGCTAAAAACTTGAGAGAGAGTAGGATATGATAGCTGCAGCGCCCTCGTAAGTTTTTGCGATGCGCCCTGGCTTTGTAATCTTTGAGATTACGCAATGACCCATTTGGGCAAGGAAGGAACGCTACGAGTTAGCTGAAAGTGGAGTCACTTTTCAATTGTGAATACTATAGCACAACGTACCCACACCCCCTCCCTCCCCTCCGCCTTCAGCGCTCAACAGTGAGTTCCATGAATGCGTCGAATGGTCCTTTACCCTAATGTACTCCAAGTTAGTGCACATGCCGGGTCTACGGCGAGGCAAAATGAAAACAAGAGTCATTGCTTCCAATATTTAGCCTCGTAAGTGCTTGGAGTTTTGGACTTCTCCATCAGACAATACTCTTCCCTATGTTCTGTTGAAGAAATACGCCTTCGGTTTCGGAATTCACGAGCATCAATAGGAGAGGAAAGTGAGGCTAGACACTGGGCACGGTACGGCTTGGACGGGACACGGTTATTTTGCTATTTCGCTAGTTTCTTTACTACTTCTTTTACTGACTACTGCTAACTAAGAAGTCTCAGTTTCGCTAGCCCTGTAGACCCTTTTCGAAAGTAAAGTAAACAAAGTCAATACAGCATAAAAGGAACCTCGCGCTTTTAGTTGGTCTCGCAAGAGTTTACAAATCACTACGGCACGCTCCTGCAGTGATCGCTGGAAACCAGCAAATAAGCTCCACCTAGCCAAACTACAGCCTATTAGTCTTTACGGATTAAACATTGCAAAAGGTGACTTTAGGTGTTTCGTCTCGTAAGTTCAAAGTTTCTATGCTCATAAAGTTTGTAAGTGTGATTTTCCTGAGGACGCTTCCATACATAGCGCCTTCGGAGACTCGGAGAATCAGCTAGGGGAATAGATGGATTCAGATTTCGCCAGTATTCCGATTCTTTATCCAACTCAAGACTGAGGTCAATCGATATGTATCTAATCTTGTTCATGGATTTTCCGATTCTCCAGTGGGGCGAAGCGCCGCGCGACGAACTGGTCGGGCTTCACTTGAGCATGGTGGTGTTGTCTGTTGATACACCATAACTTTAGCTTTCTATGATAGAATTAAGAACTGAACTGAGGTTCGTGCAATGACTGCTCAGATCAATCTATTACCGATTGAGACAGATTTCTGTGTTCCTGATCCATTCCTGGCGAAAACTGCGACTTGGAAAAGACTTGACCTCCGCTTCTAGGCGCATGGGGAGGGGGACGATTTGCACTTTCGCTGCTTCCCACAGTAGTATTGAGCCATCAAGAAGGATCGTGTGAAGCCTAGTGAAGCCATGAAGTGATACCTGTCTAGAAACTCCAGTCAACTTTTGTAGATAATACCTGTGAATTTTGTGAGCAATGATTACAATGGACAGCAGCGAAAGTGCAAAGTGCCCCAACCCCCCTTTCTTCACGTCGCCGAGCGCACTCTCGAACCTGTACAGTTTGATCGTTTGGATACCTTTGGAATCTGGCCTTGCTAATGGAAGTCGTAGTGATGGCGAGATGAAAAAAAAAGAAAAAAAAAAGAACGAAAAACTTACCTTGTAATGTATTCCTGGTTATGTACATCTGTGTTAGTTTTGTCAGTCAGTCCTTTACGTACAAAAGCCTGAAAAGGTACTGGTAAAGTTCACAGCCTTGTTCAGTGCGTATGCTGAGGCATATCAGGGGGAAGGGGTGGGCTGGTTTTGGCGCGGCGCCAGGTAATTTGAAGCGGGTAAGAGACAAAAATTGGCAGGGGACGAGTTGCTGCCACGCCTTTCTGGGAAATTCCCACAAAGTTCCAGAAACATCTGAACGTCTTTCAAGTCAGAACTTCCGTAAAAACCGATGGAACTGCATATCAGTTTCAAAATGTGGCCCTAAAGAACCAAAAACGAGCCAAACCCTGAGGGATCAAGGAAATAGTCCGGGAAACTTCAGGTGGAGGCATCCCCTGATCGAGACACTATGGCTCAAGGCTATTCTAAGGTGATTTTTCTAAGAAGAACAAACCTTTCGCGATGTCTCAACCACTTTCAACGGACTGTTATAATCGGAAACGATTCCTAAAATCAGTGACCTCATGAAAAATCGTAATAAATCAATCAATAAAAAGGTTATGAGACTGAACTGATCCTGCAATCGCGATAAATCTCCGTCTTCTTCTCGAATACCAGTAAAGGAGGTGGGCTCTGAAAACGGGATTCTTTGTTTAGACTCGCAGTCAATTCGATGAGAAAAAATGAATCTAAAGAATGGTCCTCGGTGGGGCCCCTCCCTTTTGCGGGAAACTACCCAGGTGGGCAGTTTTAAGGCCTGAGTACGCGGGAGGAAAACTTACCGGGAGGAGGATGATTGTGTGCTTCTAACTTCTCTTCGGCCAAACATGTAAGGACTTCGTCCTGGCCATGCGACATCTGTAAAGGGAATAAAATTAGTGATTTTCTTGGAAAAGGGCCACTAAATGGGTTTCGTAACCGCCATTTTGCACGAAAACCCTCCAGCTTATTGATAACAATGAGATAACCACTAAAACGACCCACCCTAGAGCCTAGATCCTAACGATGTGTGAGCTACCAATGGAAAAAAGCAAAATGTTCAAAAATTTCGCGGCGACCGTGACGTGATGAAACTCGTCCACCGGATGTTACCGTAACCTGCCAGGCCGCATCGCGGCAGCTTCTTTCATCTACATATTGCGGGGAGATCGTTCAGCAAATGTTGAGTAACCAGTTT